GCAGGTTGTCAAAGTTGAGCTTCTACTTCCCGCCCCTGAGTGACGGCGGAGAAAATGCCAATAACAACAACAAAAAAACACTCAGACTTCGTTTCTGGACGTTTCAGACAATCTTTTCAAACTTTTTTGTCAGAAGGCCAACATGTGCCAAACGTAAATCTTTGCGAACATTGTAGAGTGGGAAGTACAAAGTCAACCTACTTGACGCCATTTTTTCAATGGCAAAATGACATTCCTTCCAATATTTTTTGTGGCTTTGAAGTCCTAGAAGGCCCCCGCCCACTCGCACTCAAGTTCTATATACGCCACTGACATACCGCTAATTCAGCCTTTTCCGTGTGATTTCTGCCGTCTTATTTATCTCATTTAGTTCTTTCTGTTGTTTAACCGACATATAAAAAATTCTCAGTTCGGGTTCCGTTAGAGAAACAACTGATAGCTGACTTGCTTGCAGTGGCAAAATTCGCAACGGCGGACGCGATTTGGGTGAGTGATGCATTTTATACATTTATTTCAGACCATCTCTTACACGATTGATGTTTGTGCATTAAATAGTTTTCATTATTTCGTGATTCATGTGTATCTTTTCAGTATATACAGGGTATTTCAAATTCTACCCTCACCATTGGGATCTCGGAAACTGTAATAGATTCGAAGTTGTCCAAAAGGAGCCAAAGCTGCATATTTATGTAGTTGACAAAATGCCGCTTAGAAAGTTTTGAAATTCAGAGTACTGCCGGAGAGAGAAGAAAAACCGAATGTTCCCAAAATAGTTCAGATTTTTTCTGACTTTATTTGTAGTGGGATCTCGAAACATGTTGCACATTTACATTGCCATTTTTCCTCATCGACAAGATGGCATAATTAGAATTTCAATACGACGTTTTGTCTCTTGTCCTCCAGCATCAACTTTATTTTTTCTTATGTACGCCATATATTGGATTTCTGGCACAGATAAATATAAATTTTGATTCTGATGCCAAAAACGTATAATACGTCATACTTTGACATTACCATTGATTATTTCAAAAAGCAGAATTTCCTAGGTAGGTCTTCAAATTATCAGATTGTCATTTGTTTCTCATACCAGATTTATACCAAAACCTAGATTTAATATATATATATATATAGGGTGTTCCTTAATGAATACTTAAGGGTGTGCATCTACATGAAGAATAATGTTAGTTTGCTTTATAAACTATGGTCCAAAAATGTTTCCTACAAAAATTCGGGGTGTTGAAGTTTAGGAAAAAAAAAGGAAATTAGTTAATATTATTAGAACCACTTCAGATATTTCACTGATGTTTAGTACGTAGTGAAAGTTAATAAAGCTGCATTTTTTTTAGCTTTAACAGTAGCGTGCGTACGGGTATTGACTTCGATATTTGTTAAGAAAAAAATGGTACGCCAATAGTTTTTTGCCAAATAAATATTATTATAGAATTCCTCGTTCAATTCAAAACAAATGATCTCTCTTGAGTTGCTTTCCTTCGATGTGCCATTTTTGAGAGAAAAAATAAAAACCTATTGTCCAGCTTGCGAAATTATTATTAATTTAATTGGAAAAATTAAACACATTAGGGGTAATGAACAACAACTGACAACATAAACATAATATTAAAACCAACGAAATGATTACAAAAATTGTTGAAAATGGTCCCCTTCACTTAGTATTCATGCTTCCGCCCTCCTTCTCATGGAATTGCGCACTGGCTGGATCATCCTTGGAGTGATTTTTATTCTATCACAAGCTGCAACTATTCTTTCTCTTAATTTCTCTACAGTGTTAATGGGACTTGTATACACTAGTGTCTTAAGATATCCCGACAAAAAGAAATCTAAACTGTTGAGGTCTGGGGACCTTGGTGGCCATTCTTGGGACCCACGGCGGCCAATCCAACGATTTGGACAAAGTTTGTAAATAACTACGAACCGCTACACTGAAATGCGCTAGTGCACCATCATGCATGTACCACATATTGTTTCTTATTACTAACGAACATCATCAAGCAGCAAAGGCAACTGTTGTTGAAGAAAATTAAGGTAAGTCTGTCCGTGAAGTCGTCCCGGCAAGAAGAATGGGCCCATAAAGTGGTTGCCAATAATTCCTGCCCATATGTTAACTAAAAATTGGTGTTGGAAATGGGTTTCGATTACAGCATAGGGATTTTCTTCTGCCCACAAATGATTATTGTGGAAATTCTGAATGGCATTTCGAGAAAAATTAGCTTCGTGCGTGAACAGAATCATTGATTCAAATTGCGGATCTTGTGTGTGTTTTGAAGATACACTGACCACACGCCTTGAAAACTGAATGGGAAGTAATGCCTGTACTCTTAAAATATAGTAAGGATATAACAAAAAAACCACTTGAATATGTACCGCCTCGCGGTCGCAGTTACGGCAGACTTGTAATGTGTCAGACATAACCATAAAAGCTGCCTGCTACTGGGGTAACATCTTTTGATAGTCCCCAAAGCAACATATGAATTTCAGCTTTTATACGATGACGAAAGTTTAACTCCAAAATTTATTAAAGTTTCATGGGTATCTGGTAGGGTTTGAAAGTGTACTAAGTGGTTGGCAATGGATGAGGTCATTTCTAATACCGTTCTGAAAGAAATATAAAAAATTGGGCTCGTTACTTCAACGAATTTGAGGTACTATGTTAGACATCTTTGCTATCTATTAGCTGCCAAAATAACCACCATCCAAATTTTGTAGTCGTTGATTACAGTCTCCGATCTGACAAATCATCTGCTTCTATAACAATTTTTCATGTTCGATCTCAACCCTTGTGACTGGGATTCCTGACATCAATTGAAACTTCAATGCACCAGAATATGAGACATACAGTCTCAAAATTGGAGAGTCGAAATATCATAAGGTAGATAAGAGAAAATATCGGAAAGGTCTATATATTTGAAAATTATCCATCCCTGCGCACAGTCGTACCGAATTTCGGAGACAGGATGATCTAGCTTATACTTTTGGCTAAAGTTGCACTTTTGGTGTCCGAGAATTTCTGAAATTCTGTCTCCAAATCGAAAAATGCATTACAACGATAGAAAAGAAAATATTGAAAAGTCTGTTTCATTGGTAATATTTCATGTTCAGTCTGACCGATACTGGGTTACAAAATACAAAAACTTATATATAGAAGTGACTTTATTGGTAGTTTATGTACACTACAATGTGTAAGATTCAGTCCGAACTGAACAATGTAGATAACAATAGCAGAGATAATATTGATATCTGTTTTTGTGAAACTCATTAAGGTTCGGTCTAACCGATTTTGGGGTACAGATTTTTGTAGCTTATATAAATGCCTCGAGCTGCAACTTCTGTGCACTGGAATTTGTGAGATGAAGTCTTCCAGTTGGGAAATGTAGATAAGGTATAAGAGAAAATTTCACAATTTATTTGATATTTCTTGATAGCTGCAACGCAGTCTCACCGAATTTCGAACACAGGTCGGTCCTACTAAGATCTATGACTTAAGTTGCACCTTCTGTGTACATGAATCTGAGAAACGCAGTCTCCGAACTGAAAAATGTTGGTAACGATAAAAGAGAAAACATCGAAGGTTTGTATGTCTTTAGTAATCCATTATCACTTTAACAGAGAAATACTCAGTTTCACCGGCTTTTGGTACTCAGAATGTTGATGTATACCTGGCTGCAATGTATGTGTATCATAGTGAAATGTGAAATACTCACCGAAATGAAGGATGAAAACATCTTTTTCTGGACAACTTTAGTTAGTATGCAGTCTTATTGAGGTTTAGTGCACTGAGTGGTGCAACTATGAATAATTTTAGTTGCCACTTTTGTGAGCCACATTCGGTGAGGCACGGTCTTTGAATTATGAAATATAGATTATACTAGTTCAAAATATGTTTCCTTTGTGATCTTTCATTGCTGTTATACCTAGTCTAACCGATCTTTGCGTATCAGAATGTTGTAACTTGATATACTTAGTTGTACCTCTTGCATAGCAGAAGCTGTGAGAAACAGTCTTCAAACCAGAGGGAAACGTGTTACAGCTTCTTGGTACCTTACTCCGTGAGAGACACCCTTCGAACTCAAGAAATTCAATGACGCTATAGAATAGAGGATTGCTTCTCTGGAGAACGATAGTCGCACCAGCTTATGATATGACTAATTGTTTGTATCTTGGATAGTTGCTACTATATGCACGATCTTAAATGTAGTTTCATGGTACCACATTCTGTGAGGTACAATCTTCGAGTTGGGAAGTGTAGATAACGATAGAAGAGGAAATACCGAAAAGGTACGTTTGTTGTAATATTTTATCGTTGTTGTACAAACATGAATGTTTAGGCTCGCCAATTTTGGTAAAGGCGTTATATCTAGATGTATGACTTCAGTTGCAACTTATGTAGTACATCAACATTTTAGTGGCGCAGTCTCCGAACTGAGAATCGTCAACATCGTTAGAAGACAAGTTTCACCGACCTTAGGATGGACACAGAAGGCAATTAGATGTACAAGTCAGTCCACTGTGAACATTTGTGTGAGAAACGAACTGAAAATGGAAACAGCGTTAGAATCGAACGGACTGCTTGTTCTAAATTTGTTCGTCTGAAACATGTAATAATAATAAATAGTCTTTTTTGTTTTTGGACTCTTTCTCTGCTGCCACTTGGTCGATTTTCAAAAACTAGCCTTTGCGTCCTTGGCAGTGTAGCAACATTGTCTTAATATCTCATTAAAAACCGAGCGGTACTTCTCAAGTTATAGGCGGTTATAAGATTAGCCGACAGACCGACGGTAATGAACGAAATGGTTCTTCATCATGTACATGTCATACGACTATGATATCCAAAATACATAATACCTTATTTTAGGTTAGATTGGTTTTTGCGAAGCGAACGGCAGATCGGCAGGGCTCATTGTGGGGGGTCAAAAATAATGATTTTTTTTTCGAAAAGAAAGAATGATGAAGAACTAAAATGAAGATTGAATGAGAATGAGAAAAGGCTGTAAAGTTAGTGAAAGAAGGGTCCATTTTGAAAAGCACTGTGTAGTCGATCTTCCCGTAGTAAGTACATTTGCTCTCTAGAAGCTGTTTGGTAACTGTATGTTTCAAGTTTGATATTGTACTGAAAAGGTATTCAAATATGACTTATTATTCGTACTTCGATCCTATTCTGGAAATATGTAAACTTGCCCAGATAGATCGGAGCTCTTTACAGTGTTTCTTTGAAAATGGGTTCGTAAAGTATTATGTTCTGTACAAGCTGGCCCCTCCGAGATAAAAGTTAACTACGGACACGTAGAACAAAAACATTAAGGGGATCAAGTTATTCAAACAGACTCATACAATTAAGATTTGCATACTTTACTTTCTTTTTTTGTACAATTTTGGAGCTCTTTAGGAGTTGGCTGCCTGAGAAAATATGCTCTTCCTCGTGCTTCAGAAAGTTTTGGAGGTAGTATTGCTTTCACACAAAAGTTACCTCTTGTCGATGAATGGCCCTCCTCCTTCCGCTGAGAATTCCTAATGCCGCATATGCTGCTACAAACTTGCATCGCCATAGTTTTCACTGGGTTATGTTCATTTCAAAAGGGGACAAAAGGCACCTAGTTCCGACGTTGTCTCATATTGTAATAAAAATTCTTATTCTGATCCCTTGGGATAAACATTCATTTGAGTTTTGATGCACGCATAGTGAAATACCACCTGTCAACTGTATAGCTTGGGCCTTACAACAAATAGTCATAAAATGTATTCAAATATGATTTATTATTAGTCCTTCTATCCTAAACTGGAAATATGTCAACTTGCGCAGATAGATCGAAGCTCCTCGTGCTGCTTCTTTGGATTGTATGTTTTAAGATTGATTTTGAGTTGAAAATGCATTCCAATATGACTTATTATTTATCAGTACTTCGATTCGATTCTGGAAATATGTGAACTTGCCCAGATAGATTGGATCTCTTTATAGTGTTTCTTTGGAAATGGTATGTTTTCAAGATCGATGTTTATTTAAAATATGAAAACTAATTTAGTGAGCGCATCTTAGGTATCTTACCTACAAGAGAGTCGATTGGGCCCTGCAAGGTGAATGGGCGATGGGCATCAAGAGCAAATAAGTGAAAATAGGTATAAAATTGACAAATAGGCTTTTTATCGTACAAAAATACAAATACTGCACGTTTCAGGTTAAAAAAGAGATGGAGAGACGGAAACAGCGAAATAAGGAATAAAACTGGAAAACTGATGAATTGTCCTGTATCATATGTAAGATATATTTTGCTATTTTGAATAAGAATTTTTGTAGATATTCTTACTCAGTGAAGGTTGTGTATACTCATTCTTGAGTTTGAGTGGATTTTATGTTTCGCCAAATTACGAAATTGAGATATTCTGTTTTTTATGTTATATGACATGTACATAATTAAAAACAATGTCACCCATTTCCGTCGGTTTGTCTGTGTTTCCGCTAATCATTGGCCCCTGTATAACTCAGGAAGCGCCTGTCGGATTTTGATGAAGTTTTGTCACAACCTTACTGCTAAAATAATAAAAATCGTTCGTTTCAGTGTCTACTGCTCATTTTCAGAAAAACATTTTGAGCGGGTTATTGTAAGGGGTCAAGCGTATCCTTATGTTTTATTATGAACCATATTCGTCATCGTGTAGGGATACTTATGAGCAGCCTGTTGCTGCACGAGTATCCAACACGATCTAAGTCTTTAAAGCTCCTTATACCGCCAAGGGGTAAAAGCTTCGCCAGTGTTACAGATCACTCTTTAAAAAATCATCTATTGTGCCATTTCCAAGATTTCAGGTAAGAGATAGCTGTTGAATACGATAAATAGAAATACAAATATTGAACGTCTATGGAAATCTAACGGAGAGTTCATATAAGCTCTAGATTCAGAAGATTGACTAACTGGTTGAAGTTGAATCAACCAGTTTAGGAAATATGCCAGGTAAGCACATTTGAAAATAATGATCTGCTAAATTTTGTTTATTTGCAAACATAATAAATATTTGAGATGATGTAGAAAGCAAAAAGTGGCTGGAAATCGGTTTTTCTTAGGTACCTTTTAAACGACACTGTATAATTAATCGAAATTTTGTCAGGTCCGTAAGCAACTGTAGTTTGATTTGGTGGTGTTCACGGAAAATCACTTACTCACTTATAACGTGAGAGGTTCACTATCTCTAGCCTAATGTTGCCAAAATTTTTTATTTGAAAAAAAACGATATCCAGTAGCGGCTAACCGCCATTACGGCCCTGTATCTCCCTAATAATGAACTTGTGGCATTCTCTTTTTGTGTTCTATTTGTATACGAGAAGTTGACATATTCTGATACTACACTGCATACACATTTTGATGTCTTCATTTTATTATAAACCTTATAAATATTTCAGATAGTGACGAATAAGGGTATAAATATTTTTGTGACAGTTCAACGTATAGTTTGCACTCTACTATATAAAGACTTACATGATCTAAGTTAATGAGTATGGCAATTATTCAAGTTAGACGTTTTTGAAAATTTCAAACATTTATTTTTACATGATGTAGAACATGCTGATCCCATCATGACGTTTCCCTAGCAGTCTGACGTTTTGATAACAACAATAATGAGGAGATTTTCAAACATTTTTAATACAATATACTAAATATTTGTTTTAGAAAATGATGACGTAGGTCGAAGAAGTAGATGCTCCCAGGAGGTTATGTTCTATTATATTTGAATATCAATACCTTAATCAGACAACCGCTGTTTTAGTAACAGAACTATACTTCAGGTAAGTAATGTACGCTTCTGAAGAATTCAAAATATTTTTGAAACTAACAAAAAAATTATAATTTTTAAAAGTAAAATCTAATTCATTTTAGATGTTTTGCAAAATTTCAAAGATTCATTTTTTACATGACGTAGAAAGCTGACTTACTGATTATATCATGACGTCTCTCTAACATTCTGATATTCTGATAAGAATATTAGTGAGGAGCTTCTCAATCATCTTTAATATAAAGTACCATACAACATTTGTTTCAGAACATGATGAGAGAGATCGAAGAAGTAGATGCTTTTAAGACATATTTGGACCATGTTCTATGATAACTGAATATCAATCCCGTAATCAGACGACCAGTGTTTTAGGAACAGGACTGTATTTCAGGTAAGTTGTGTACTGTTCGCAGGAGTCAGTCCCAAAAATTATTCACATATTTTAAACAACGCTATTAAAATTATATTGTTAAATTAGAAACGCACCTGAAGAATTGCACACATTTTTTAAACTAAAATACAAAATTCTGGAGCATCTAATTTGTAATGATGTAAACACAGTAACAGATTCTATCTAACGCTTCTGGCAATAGTAGCAGTTAGACGGGTAGCAACTATTTCAGCTAAACTACCTTTTAAAAATAAAATATAATTTATCTCAGATATTTTGACAAATTTCAAACATTCATTGTTTACATGATTCTATCATGACGTTTCCCTAGCAGCCTCATATTTTGATACAAATAATAATAACGAGGAGCTTTTCAATCATCTTTGATACAAAATACTATACAAAACTTGTGTCAAAATATCTTTAGGAAGATCGAAGAAGTAAATGATTCTAAGACATCTTTAATGTTTATTTATTATATCTGAATGTCAACACCTTCTTTTAGTAATAGAATTTTAACTCGGGTATATTATGTTCTCTTTGAGGAGCTAGTCCCAAAAATATTTAACGAACTTAAATCGCTCAAACTTTGATTTTGATGTTTCAGAGGTTCGTTATCTTTTTCAGGAAAAGTATTTTTGGCGTACTCAATTTAAGTAAACAGTTTATAAATTTTAATTAAAAAAGTTTCCTATATCCAAGTAAACTGATTTATGAATTGGAGTTTAATTAAACTAATGAATCTTATTAGCAGTCAAATGGTTAATTAAATTTTTAATTGACCTTATTAAAATTTTTCTTGCTTTAATTAAATTCGGCATGTCTGCCAATATAATTTATAATATTACCGATAAAGATCATACAGTTTTGTTAATAATGATGACCTGAGCATGGTTAATAAGGTACCAGGCACAAAACATATGGGATTTGACCTCCGGTCAATTTTACAGAAAATTCATATAGTGATAGATCATGTTGTGCTGGTCAAATGTCCCTATAAACAAATTCTGAATGCAAATAATATAACAACTATTTCAGAAGAAAATGAAGCAAATTGGAAAAATGGATGCTCAATTGCAAGACATATCAGGGAAATCTCAGTATCTAAGGATGAAAGTAAATGAAGGAAAGCCAAATGATTATTCAGATCAGAAATCTCGTTCACGTAACTGTCTGAATATGTTGTTCATGAAGCAGCTCCAAATGATGTAGAAAGCAGGAAAACTGGTCCGTTTAAAGCTATAGCTAACATTTCGCATTTTTCAATATACTGGATACAAAATGTCGTTAACCGTTTCAGATAGAAAGAAACAACGAGTGTACTAGAAAGACTGAGGATCAGTTGTAAAATGGACAATATTATATTACATCCAAATATAAATGCGTAAAGATGAAAACGGGACACTTTTGGCTAGGAAAACTGTATAAGAAAGCTGCCGTATCGACATAGCAATAGTTTAGGTGAGCCAGCTGTGGCAGATATACTATTGAGCATTTTTGGTTATAGCTTGGTTTCATAAAAATATTTCACGCAATTTAAACAGAATTCGTTTTTACGTAAAAAATAAATTATCGGTTTAGTAATTCACGGTCCCGGTGTATATGGGGAACGAGCCTTTGTTGTTTGGGCGCCCTTATGGATTCTAGCGTCAAACTAACATTGGATTTGGAATCGAAGCATCCACTTCATTCAAGAATTGGCGCCTCGGATCACAGAGAACTAGGGGTTTCTTGTTTATGATACTATTGAAATCTCCACCCAAAATTCAGAGCACATTTTTCTAACGAAAGTTTCTTGTTCCTACACATTATGTTGTCATACGATGAGGTATAAATTACGAAAAATGATCTAGTGTGTTACACGATTACTCATTCGTCGTTCTGACGAAACATTTTTATATATAATTACACGATCAAACGAACTTACCGGTAAGTGATATTCGATCTTAATTATATGAAGTCCTCGTCGAAGTAAATATTTAGAATATATATCCTAGTACCCTCGTAGTAGTACCCAACTGCCACCGCGTCCCCTCACCCTACTTTTCTCCCCTCTGGCCGCCTATAAACTTTCATTGACTTCAAAGCCAAGTTGTTGCAACGATTGGGTGATACATAGGGTAAAATACTGATAGCTCAAACAATTATATCTTGATCTCTTATCACCTGCAAGGTAAGAAATTTCAAGGTAGGAAGCCAGACATGTATTTCTTCCCGACAAAGGTCCTAGCGTAGTCTAAGCCCATAATACATGATGGATTATCAATGTTGATTGGAATGACAGCTTTCTAGTGACGATAACCAGGGTAAGCTTCAGAATCATTGGAAGCGGCGTCCTGGGTCCCTCCATCAGTTCCTTGCGTTACTTCTAGAAGTGAAATTTCAGAAACACCGAATACTTGAACCAAAATCAGGACGGTGACAGGTGCAGCTCCCACTCCATTTCCACATCCCACTGACGCAAAAGCTCATCTGCACCAGTATTAGTCCTAGATTTTATATTTGACGCGAAGGCAGTAAGATTTCTCTCTTTACACAATTGCCATAGTTTTCCCGCAACCTGGTCCAGACGTGAAAACCAGAAGCTCTCCGTTCTATTGATGCAGGATGGGGTATAATATGCGACACCCCATCAATTCGGTAGCAAAGCATTAACCACAGAAGAAAACTACCAGTTGTTCTGGATGATTATCATGCGGGATCTTCTCGGGTGACCAAAAACTAGAGACTCCTCTAATCTCTACGGAGAAGTCTGATCCCAGTTCAATAGCCTAGACTCAAGTGTTATATCCCTATAAACAAACAGTCTTGAGGTAAGGAATCAAACGTGTTGACCCATCAGACTTGTAGGCAAGAAAAAGTTGGATAGGTGCTGATTTTCAGTTAGCTTAGCTTTGCTTTAATGTGAATATCTGCCAGCATGCACTCCTCTCCCTTCTTTGAACCTAGAGGATAGAGTATTGCCACTTGTATTTAATGAACAGCTCACATGTTGGTATACGCAGTCCAAGTACGCATCCCTGCTTGCGACAATTTCTATTATGGCTTCCGTTAGCTCAGGATTCACCTTAGGTGGCTAGAATGGAACAGAATTTAT